TCGGGGCACTTTTGAGGGTCTAAACATGCCCGAAAACTCATGAAAATTTGCACACACACCAAACCCGGTGTAAATAGCAGGTTGATATGGGTCTCGGAAGTGGGCGTGGCAAAATGACTCGACAGCGCCACCTAGAAAAATTAAACGGACGAGCCCCCGATCCACGAATCACACACATGCACGAAAATTGGCACACACCTCAAACACACCAAAACATACGAAAAAGTCTCTTGGAGCCATATCTCAAACCCAACAGGAAGTCGGATATTTTTGACTTCCTGCGGCGAAAAAGTGGCGTTTTTGCCATTTCCAGGCGTTGTATTTTAACGAACTCCTCCTAGGGATTTTATCCGATCGACACCAAAATTGGGTTTTGTCATCTAAAGGCCTTGGCGATGTTAAATTGCGAAGCTTTAGAGTTTTCGTCGATGGGCGTGTCCGTGGCGCCCTCGCAAACTTTGACGATTCGCCACAAAACAGGAAGTCGTTATAACTCAGGCATGCATTATCAGATCTGCCTCAAAATTCACACGTTTGATAAGCGTCCTGGTCCTGAACACGTTTACATGCCAATATCCAGATACAGAAATAGCGCCACCTACTGGCCACAGGAAATGACATGTTTTACACTGTAACAAACTCCTCCCACAAATTTTATGGTATCAGCACCAAAATTGAGTGGTGTCATCTGAAAGCTCTATCGGTGATATTTTGTAAAGATCTAGAGTTTTTGCAGAGGGGCGTGTCCGTGGCGGCATGACAAACCTCAACGCTTCGCCAAGGAACGGGAAGTCCTCATAACTCAACCACACAAAGTCTGATCAGCCTGAAACTTCATATGGTTGATATACGTCATCTCTTGAACACATCCACATAACAATATTGAAGTGGGCGTGGCAAAATGACTCGACAGCGCCACCTAGAAAAATATAACGGACGGCCCCTGATCTACGAATCACGCACATGCGTGAAAATTGGCACACACCTCAAACACGCCAAAACATACGAAAAAGTCTCTTGGAGCCATATCTCAAACCCAACAGGAAGTCGGATATTTTTAACTTCCTGCTGCAAATAAGTGGCATTTTTGCCATTTCCAGGCGTTGTATTTTAACGAACTCCTCCTAGGGATTTTATGCTATCGACACCAAAATTGGGTTTTGTCATCTAAAGGCCTTGGCGATGTTAAATTGCGGAGCTTTATAGATTTTGTCGATGGGCGTGTCCATGGCGGCCCCGCAAACTTTGACGATTCGCCACAAAACCGGAAGTCATTATAACTTAGGCATGCATCATCAGATCTGCCTCAAAATTCACATGTTTAATAAGAGTCCAGACCAGAACACGTTTACATGCCAATATCCAGATACAGTTGTAGCGCCACCTGTTGGCCACAGGAAATGTCTAGATTTACAGAGTAATAAACTCCTCCCACTATTTTTTTTTGTATCAGCACCAAGTTTGGTGGGTTGTTATCTGAAAGCTTAAGTGATGATATATTGTCAAGATCTAGAGTTTTTGCAGAGGGGCGTGTCCGTGGCGGCATGACAAACCTCAACACTTCGCCGTGGAACAGGAAGTCCTTATATCTCAACCACACAAAGTCAGATCAGCCTGAAACTTCACATGGCTCATAAAAGTCCTCTTCTGAACACATCCCCAAAACAGTAATGAGTCAGTCATAACGCCACCTGCTGGCAGAAGGTAGATAGGCTTATAACTCAGCCAAACAACATCCGATCTGCCTGAAACTTCACATGGTTGATTAAATTCCATTACTGAAGGCATCTACATGCCAATCTTAAGTCACAGTCATAGCGGAATCTGCTGGCAGATGGTAGTTTGCATTATAACTCAACCACACAAAGTCCGATCTGCCTGAAAGTTCACATGGTTGATAAAAGTCCTCTCCTGAACACATCTACATAACAACATTGAGTCTGTCGTAGCGCCACCTGCTGACAAAAGGCAGTTTGGCTTATAACTCAGCTAAACAATGTTCGATCTGCCTGAAACTTCACATGGTTGATAAGATTCCTCTCCTGGTGACATCTACATGCCAATCTTGAGTCACAGTCATAGCGCCACCTGCTGAGAGGAGGAGGTTTGGCATAAATCTGTGATTTTCTCAGATTTTTTAAATATAATGGCTTAAATTATTACTGTTCGCTGTTCTCTGTCATCCTGAGGCCACCGGGTGGCGGTGAGCCCGGGTGCGAGGTCCCTTTCATCGCTGCTTGCAGCTTTAATTATTATTCTTCTTCTTCTTCTTCTTCTTCCGCGGAATGAATCGCGGTTTTGAGGGGCTAAACATGCCCGAAAACTCACGAAACTTTGCACACGCCTCAGAAGTGGCGAAAATTTACGTTTGTTATGGGCTTCGGAAGTGGCGTGGCAAAATGACTCGACAGCGCCACCTAGAAAAATTAAACGGACGAGCCCCCGATATACGAATCACGCACATGCATGAAAATTGGCACACACCTCAAACATGCCAAAACATGCGAAAAAGTCTCTTGGAGCCATATCTCAAACCCAACAGGAAGTCGGATATTTTTAACTTCCTGCGGCGAAAAAGTGGCGTTTTTGCCATTTCCAGGCGTTGTATTTTAACGAACTCCTCCTAGGGATTTTATCCGATTGACACCAAAATTGGGTTTTGTCATCTAAAGGCCTTGGCGATGTTAAATTGCGAAGCTTTAGAGTTTTCGTCGATGGGCGTGTCCGTGGCGGCCTCGCAAACTTTGACGATTCGCCACAAAAGAGGAAGTCGTTATAACTCAGGCATGCATTACCCGATCTGCCTCAAAATCGCCACGCTTGATAAGCGTCCTGAGCTGAACACGTTTACATGCCAATATCCAGATACAGTTACAGCGCCACCTGCTAGCCACAGGAAATGACATGATTTACGGAGTAACAAACTCCTCCCACAAATTTTATCGTATCAGCACCAAAATTGACTGGTGTTATCTGAAAGCTCTAGCGATGTTATATTGTGAAGATCTAGAGTTTTCGCAGAGGGGTGTGTCCGTGGCGGTATGACAAACCTCAACGCTTCGCCATGGAACAGGAAGTCCTTATAACACAACCACACAATGTCCGATCTGCCTGAAACTTCACATGGTTGATAAACGTCATCTCTTGAACACATCCACATAACAATATTGAAGTGGGCGTGGCAAAATTACTCGACAGCGCCACCTAGAAAAATTAAACGGACGAGCCCCTGATCTACGAATCACGCACATGCACAAAAATTGGCACACACCTCAAACATAGCAAAACATACGAAAAAGTCTCTTGGAGCCATATCTCAAACCCAACAGGAAGTCGGATATTTTTAACTTCCTATGGCGAAAAAGTGGCGCTTTTGCCATTTTCAGGTGTTGTATTTTAACGAACTCCTCCTAGGAATTTTATCTGATAAACACCAAATTGGGTTTTGTCATCTTAAAGCCTTGGTGATGTTAAATTGCGAAGCTTTAGAGTTTTCATCGATGGGCGTGTCCGTGGCGGCCTCGCAAACTTTGATGATTCGCCACAAAACAGGAAGTCTTTATAACTCAGGCATGCAATATTCGATCTGCCTCAAAATTCACACATTTAATAACAGTCCTGACCTGATCAGGTTTACGTGCCGATATCCAGTTACAGTTATAGCGCCACCTGCTGGCCACAGGAAATGACATGTTTGACACTGTAACAAACTCCTCCCACAAACTTTCCCATATCAGCACCAAAATAGAGTGGTGTCATCTGAAAGCTCTAGCGATGATATACTGTGAAGATCTAGAGTTTTTGCACAGGGGCGTGTCTGTGGTGGGATGACAAACCTCAACGCTTCGCCATGGAACAGGATTTTCTTATAACTCAACCACACAATGTCCGATCTGCCTGAAACTTCACATGATTGATAAAAGTCTTCTCCTGAACACATCTACATAACAATATTGAGTTAGTCATAGCGCCACCTGCTGGCAGAAGGTAGTTTGGCTTGTAACTCGGCCACACAATGTCAGATCTGCCTAAAATGTCACATGGTTGATGAAAGTCCTCTCCTAAACACATCTACATAACAATACTGAGTCAGTCATAGCGCCACCTGCTGGCAGAAGGTAGTTTGTCTTTAAACACAATCTCCACACAATCTCTGATCTGCCTGAAACTTCACATGGTTGATAAAAGTCCGCTCCTGAACACATCCACATAACAATATTGAGTCAGTCATAACGCCACCTGCTGGCAGAAGGTAGTTTGGCTTATACCTCAGCCACACAATGTCCCATGTGCCTGAAACTTCACATGGTTGATAGGATTCCTCTCCGGAAGACATCTACATGCCAATCTTAAGTCACAGTTATAGCGCCACCTGCTGACAGGAGGAAGTTTGGCATAAATCTGTGATTTTCCTAGATCTTTTTTTATATATTGGCTTAAATTATTATTGTTCGCTGTTCTCTGTCATCGTAAGGTCACCAGGCGGCGGTGAGCCCGGGTGCGAGGTCCCTATCATCGCTGCTTGCAGCTTTAATTTCTTGTTGTTTCTCTTCCATTTTATTCCATTGATGTGTCTCTTCTTTCAGCACCATCAGGTCTTCAAAAAAGAACAAAAAAGTGAACTTTAGTATGAAGGCTTAAAGTGGCAAGCATGAAATGGATGTTTACCCTAAATATTAAAATGAGCTTACCATTTACTCTCCATCATGTGGTTTTAAACATTTCCTGTCTTCTGGAACACAATGTAAGCCAGCATTTTTATTACAATATCTTATTTTGTCTTCAACAGAATCAAGAAACTCATCAAGGTTTAAAACCACACAATGGAAAGTAAATGGTGAGGCTATTTTCATTTCTCTGTCAGAAAGTCATACCAACACTGACTCACATAATCAACACATCTCTTGACTCTGGTTTATTCCCCACTGTATTACTACTGTAATTGTGAATCTTTACTGTTCCTGTTTCAACAGGGCGCTCTTGCTAAAAGGAGCAATGTCAGAGAGAGACTACCAGTTCAGATGCTGAAATCTAATCGTGGGAAAGACACTTGCTCCTGAGCAGATTCGAGCTTGGGGATGTGTTGCTGTCACACCAACAAGTCTGCCGTGAGTTTCAAAGAACACATTATACTGACTAGTTGCCAATTTAATTGTACTCTCTCATTTCCAGCGTTCACTGAGAACGCGTACACACTCAAGCAGTTTGATCGTGTTTAAAACCACCTCTGGCAGCAGTGGGATTCAAACCCACACCCCCAAAGAAACTGGAGCCTAAAACCAGCGCCTTAGACCCCTTGGCCACGCTACCTTAGATGGATCCATGCAGTGGTCCCTTTTCTGCCCAATTTTACGGAAGCAGAACAGCAGAGAGGACGCAGAGCTTCCTAGTAAAGCCCTTCAACTTTGGCCAAGGAGTCTACATTTGGATGTGAGCGGAAGCGTGCAGTATCACTTTGCAAGTCTATTTGCTCAAGCACAGAAATCATTCTCAAGGATCCTAAAAGTACTGCCTGGCAGCGGTGGGTTTCAAACCCACGCCCCCAAAGAGACTGGAGCCTAAATCCAGCGCCTCAGATCCCTTGGCTACGCTATCCCAGATGACTCCATGCAGTGGTCCCTTTTCTGCCTAATTTTACGGAAGCAGAGAGGACGCCGAGCTTCCTAGTGAAGCCCTTCAACTTTGGCCCAGGAGTCTACATTTGGATGTGAGCGGAAGCGTGCAGTATTACTTTGCAAGTCTGTTTGCTTAAACAGAGAGGTCATTCTCAAGCATCCTAAAAGGACTGCCTGGCAGCAGTGGAATTCGAACCCACGCCCCCGAAGAGACTGGAGCCTTAATCCAGCGCCTTAGACCGCTCGGCCACGCTACCTTGCCAAGCTGCTTTCCCTGAGCAGTTTTCGCACCAACTTGTTTCAAGTAGCGCAGCATCGCTGGGAAATCAGTTCAATTTGGCCATGGCTTGCTGGAGCTCCTCCACAAAGAAAGAGAGCTCCTTAATACCAGCTTAGGAAGCCCTCCCAACTTCCTGTCAACCACAGTTCTGTCTCTATTTGAGCACCCCTCAAGTCTACTCCAAACGGCAGCCAGCTGCGATGCATTTAAGCACCTGATTACAAGGTAACTGTTATTTCACAAAAGAGTGAAAGTTACTGATTCCATCACAGCAGACCCCACATTGTTGTTGTTATTATATTTAAATCCAGTTATAGATTATTACTACTCTAACTGTGAATCTTTACTGTTCCTGTTTCAATAGGGTGCTCTTGCTAAAAGGAGCAATGGCAGAGAGAGACTTCCAGTGCAGACTTTAAGATGCTGCAATCTAATCGTGGGAAAGACACTTGCTCCTGAGCAGATTCGAGCTTGGAAATGTGTTGCTGTCAAACCAACGAGTCTGCCGTGAGTTTCAAAGAACACATTATACTGACTAGTTGCCAACTTAAATGTACTCTCTCATTTCCAGCGTTCACTGAGACTCACACACACACTCAAGCAGTTTGGCCGTGTTTAAAACCACATCTGGCAGCGGTGGGATTCGAACCCACGCCCCCAAAGAGACTGGAGCCTATATCCAGCGCCCTAGTTTCCTTGGCTACGCTATCCCTGATGACTCTATGCAGTGGTCCTTTTTTTGCCCAATTTTACGGAAGCAGAGAGGACGCCGAGCTTCCTAGTAAAGCCCTTCAATCTTGGCCAAGGAGTCTACATTTGGATGTGAGCGGAAGCGTGCAGTATCACTTTGCAATTCTGTTTGCTCAAGCAGAGAGGTCGTTCTCAAGCATCCTAAAAGGACTGCCTGGCAGCAGTGGGATTCGAACCCACGCCCCTGAAGAGACTGGAGCCTTAATCCAGCTGCCGAAGGATAGTCCGACAATATTTCACAAATGTTGAAGATGAGAGCCAATTGGAACGATTCGCTCCAACATTGTAGCCAATCACGTTGCAGCGCCTCAACATTTGCAGCCAATCGCAGACCGGAATTCACAACATTTTCAACATTTGACCAATCAGAGTCGAGACAATGTTGAAGCCGGGGAGAGGGAACCGTTCCAAGATTCACCGCTAGGTGTGCAGTCAAACAGGTCAGTCAGATGTCAATCAATTTTCTGAACTGAGCCGAAGGTACACGAAGGAATGATGCAGTCCTCTGGAGGCGGGTCAGAGGTCAAAAAAGTTAATTGACCATCAGTGATATTCAACGAACAGCATCATTCGATAGAGCACAGCATCGTTTTGCTTACAGTAAAGGATTTTTTCCGATAGTGATTTCTTAAAAAAGGTAGGAAAAACTACACAATTGCACGAATTAATGTTTTAGTGTGTTGCATTTCAAATTAGGATACTTTAATTCAAAACCGTTTAATTTATAGGAGAAAAAATGTCTGGAAAATCTCATAAAGCCATGTAAGACGCTGACTGGATTTCACGTCTGAAAAAGTTTGCCAGCACAGGAGTTTGGCCATCAAATGAGGGCAACAGGCCAGCTCCTCGACAAAAAAAGTGGCATGAGATTTATCAAAAGGTGTGTATTTCGTTTACATGATATAACGTTTGTTGAAATTTGCTTAACAGAGTAACGTTAACTTGTTAGGCTTCAGTACATTCAGTACAGTATCTGTGTAAAACATGTCATACTTGTTTTTAAATATTAAAGTGTTTTAAATTGCATGTATTTTGAGATTTACGTTGAATAATTTAGTAAGTTTGACCGTTTATGAGAGAGATCTGAAAAGGTGGGGGAAGGGATTATGAGTGTACAGTATACAGCATGTGATT